TCCAGTTAGGTATCACACAGCATGTTTCACTTTATGGGGGGTTTAGTCCTGGGACGGGGCCCCAAGAGTCTCCATCCTCGGAGGTACAAAGCACTCAGCTGGACAAGGTTTTGAGCAATCCAATCAAACATGAAATTTGGCTCTGTTTGGAGCATGGGAACCTTAAGAGTCATCTCAAAGCTAAATTAGCCTGGGTTTCAAATATCATGTTCAAAAAGTTTGGTTTGGTTTGTTTTTTTTTTTCAATCAGAGCATTTTTATCAAAAGCTGAACCTTAACATCATACATAAGCCAGTAACAGCTTTTAACAGCACTATAGAAGAGGTTGGGATCAATCTTCTGCAGAGGAAGCAGAATGATAAGGCGAGAAATTACTTCCTTCTCCCTCAGAACATTCACAATTGACTCCAAGATTATGACAAGATCATAAAAATCTTTCTTAACAAAAGCTTGTTCAAGGCATGTCTATTCCAACAGACAAACCTGTGCCACTCGACAACTGGCCTACCAAATTAATAATAAGTATATTTGAACAAACACTTTGCCCACCAACCCACTGGTAAAACATATATTTTTGACTGCCTGGAAATTCATTCCCAACATGAAACACAAGGGACAGTTTCTGAAATTGCAAACAGTTAAAAATGGCAGCAATTTTTTTCCACTTTTTTCATCCTCCCCACCTAATTTTTTCTCCAAAACCAGCTACTTGAGTCAGTGCTATGTGACAGCCCACAGATGGGTGCATTTATAATGAATTTGGAGAAGTTAAAACCACAGTGATAGCAGACACAAAATAAAAATATGGGGAATTCTCCTTAATTAGATTACACTCAGCACACCCTGTCTATCTGAATGAGGACACGGCAGTGGAAACCACCTGACAGCGTCGCTAATGCAACCAAGGGGGTCTGTGGCAGCAGACATCTGTTTTAAAACCCTGATCCAAATCTGCCCCTAGAGGCAAATCAGCCAGGCTGTGGATGTCGGTCTGAAACGTTAAAAGCAAAATTCATCCTTGCTGGGAGCAGGTGCAGTTGATCTAAACTCAACACATTTCAACGGCACCCCGGATTTCAAGCAGCTCCAGCAGTCTGCAAGTGCGGCACAAGCGCAAGGAGAAATAGACCCATTCATCATAAAACACTCAGCTGTCAGCAAGGTGTAGTAATGCTGCTTCCCAGCCTAGAAAGGTCCCCAAAAAGTGATGAAAGTGCAAAGCATGCTCAGCCCCTACCCACTGCCCTATAAATCAAGGGCTTGCAAATTTTGCTGTGTGGTGTTTTCTCCCTCATGCTTAATTTTCTTGCATACAGACCTGTTGGAGGGTCTTGCATACATCCCCTTACTTAGAAAAGCAATAAAAACCATTTTCCTTTTTTTCCCCCTCTGAAAGCAGAATCTATTTATGTTTTATTACAACAGTCCATGGTGCATGTCAAATATGGAGGGGCCAAGGAGGAAAATCTGGCAATGATCCTCCTGTACATCATTTCAGACAGCAGGCACACACCTCAGAATAAATAAATAACCGCTAAGCCATCCCCATTCATGTTTATAATTAGTGCAATCTATTTAACAAACAGACACATAATATAGGTCAATTATGTAGGTCATGATAAATTTATGAAGAACTTCAGCCTGTAGGGCACCAAAAAGACCACGTTGAGGCAGCATTTCCAAAGTTACAGCTCATTTCTGCACATGGTTTGTGAGCAGCAGTGAGGAACAGCAGAGATCTCCTCAGTTTTTCTGGTTTGTGGTACTATAGGCACAACCATCAAGGAAAACATCAGCAGCATCCCCTGGGAGACCCTCCCCATGATACAAGCACAGAACTGCCCCTCCAAAACACTGGACCAGTTACTACTTTCAGACAAAATTGCCAGAAGCATAAAAGTCTGAAAGGTATTTAATTTCTATGACTTTGTCAAAAACTGATGGGTATCCAGAGGGGAGATAGAGAAATATGTTATTTATGCTTCCTTCATAGGAAAGGAAGTGGTAACTCAGCACTTGTCTGGTATGTTTGATCATGGCCCTCTCAACCAGGAACAGATGTAGCAGCAGAGAAGGTGCAGTACATGCCAAATTCTGCCTTGCTAGGAGTTTTGGGTAGGAATGATGAAGAACCACAGTGGAGAGCATCAGAGAGCAGCAGGTGCCGTGTGGGGCTTCAGGTAAGTGACAGGGCCTCAGAACTACCTGTCCTCAGGAGTATGGGGAGGATGCAGTGAGAGATGGCCACAGAAAAAGCTACACATGAATGGTTTGCAGCAAGGAGACAAATTTAATGTTCAGGATTCAGTGAGCATCACACTTTTCCACTACAGGTCAGCACAAGTATAATTTGCTCTTTGAGATGAAGGGAGAAGATGGAACCTGAATGGAAATTTGAGCTGTAGGTTTAGATGTTGTTCCTTCTTCTTAGTATTTCCAAGTATTGCAGCAGACCAACTCTCTCACTGAGTACACATCAGCTGGTTGAACACCCATGTGCCTCTCTGAGCATGTAGGGACATGGATCATTCAGTGGGATTTGGCACATGTTGCTACCTGGCTTGCACACGCCAATCACGTGCAGTTCATGGGCACACTGTGCCAAAAATACTGACTTTGTGCTTAGAGAACAACATAATCTTGTTACTGTTCACAAGAGTTGTGACCAAATTGGTGAAATAACCTTTTAATTATACAGATTCTTCTATCTGTACAATTTGTCTTTGATCCCTGTTTATTAATTTTCATTCAAACATCCAAAACAACTATTCTTATAACATGGGAGTGACAGAGGTAATATCCCACATGGTTCCCAAACTGGTTCCCAATAATCTGCATTCTACCTCAGGTTTGATTTATATAATACACCAAACTATGAATCTAAATGTATAAGTAATACGTACAAAATGTAGATATCATACTTGAAAATTTGTTACAAATCTCAGACTGTGTGGCTTAATTCTAGCAATGACCACAGTACTGTGTGTGACACAGTTTCAGGAATGGAACCAAAACCCTTTAAACCACATACACTCCATCCCAGGTCCGCAGCTGAGGGAAGAGTTTTTCCACAAACAGCCTGAGAATTGTTCCCATGCACATAAGTAATGCTTTTCACAGGAGGGAGGAAAAAAAAACAACTCAGTATTACATTCTCATTTCTTTGGAATCTCTAATCCTAACTGCAGCACTCTTTATAAGCATATATGCAAGATACTTCTATTTCAACTAAGAGAAATAAATACTGTTCTATTTTGCCCCCGTCCCTGGGAAAATGGCGTTCCTGACAAAATACTGCTCTCTGCTGGCCTTGACCTGCTTTTCCTCAAGGGCTTCACCTCCTGAGATCTGCCTTCCCTCGTGAAAAGGGAAAAAAACCTCTTTTGCTGACCTAGCAATCGGTGACAGGAGCATTTCTTTATTTAGAACGGAAAAAAATTATTTTGCTAAGGAAAACTATGCTGACATCACTGAAATCTTCTGTCTTGAAGAAAAAATGCAAGTAGTCCTTCACCCTGAGTAACTCTCCAGAAGTATTCCTGTTTCCTTGCAACCTGGAAGAGAAGAAACGGGCTGTTAATGTAGCAGGCTGTCTGTTGTCATGAGTTCAGATGACTGTGTGTTTCTAAATAGAAGGGACTCAAGTCCTGTTCTAGGTTTCAGGAAACTTGCTCCTAGGTGGGTTTTCACAGCAGCCCAAAATCCCAGTGACTACCACAGAATTTGAGATGGGGCTCCCTAGTCATTTACTTTGAAGGACAACTCCAGACCTGAGTAGCTCCCTAGCCCAAAACTTGAAGTATCTTTACTTCCTATCCCCATTTTTTTTTCTGTTTTACCAAAAGAGCATCACTCAGAACAAAGCTAACTGAAAACCAGCTTATTTGCATTGAATTTACCTTCACACTGCCACTAGATATCACTGAGCTACACCTGACATGAACCATAAAAAAAAAAAGAACCATAAAAATTGGGTTTAGTCTGTCAACATCTTATATTTTGGGGCAGAACAAGGTGATGCCATGCTGCAGACTCACCAAGACCAGTGACCATGCCCAGCTATGACCATGACCATCCTCCCCTAAGTCTGGGAGATAAAGGGCATTTACCCAGCAGTCAGGCCTCATCTTTCCTGAGGTTCTCCTGTCTGTCTTCTCCCCAGTGGGTTTGCAGCTCCTGAGATGCAGTGACTGACAGGAATGCCACAGCAGCAATTTTGTGATGAACACCTATGGGAATTAGCAGAGCACTATCAGATGTCTCTTTTTCTCCAGCAGCTGGCAGACTCATCTTTCTGTGGTGAAACCACACCAGCAGGGTCTTGCTTACAAACCACCAGAAACTTAACACAGATTCTGTTGCAATCAAATCACAGAAGAGCCACAAATCTTTAAAAAATAATTTAATTCTTTGTACATGAGGTATGGAGAAAGGTACAAAGCAACTACTCAAGGGCATCCTTTCCTCACATCTACTCATGCTCACTGCCTCAGACCCAGCTCAAAATTGCAGGACAAGAGCTCCTGGGAGGGCTGGTTCTCACTGGGGTGCAGAGGGTGCCCAGCAGCCCTGCTCTCGGGTTTCCTGCAGTCAGGATGACGCCCCCCCCCTTCCCCTCACGGAGCCGCGCGCCCGCCTCGCGCCTGCGCCGTGGGGGCGCGAGCCGGGCGGCGGTGCCATGGCGGGGCCGGCGGGGGCGGCGTGAGTTTGGGAGGGACGGAGGGGAGAGGGAGGGAAGAGGGAGCCGGGAGGAAGAAGGAAGTGCGGGCGGCGGGACAGTGTCTGTGTGTGTGTGAGCGAAGGGCACCCCGCGGGGTGGGCCGGGCCGGGCCCGGGCTCTGCCGGCCTCCCGGCTCCCGCCGGCATTCCCGGCTCCGGGGCGCCAGCGGGAAGCTTCTCCCTTGCAGCAAATCTTGGCGTCCCCTGACAAAGGCAGGGAAGGGGCAGTCGCCATTCTCTCCAGGCAAACGGCGGTAGGGGGTTAGCCCTTCCAGGCTGCTGTGCCGCCTCATTTTTCCAGCCTCCGCTTTCCTGCGGTGGAGCTCGTGTCTCCGGGAAGGATTCCCGGTGCCTGCGGCTTTCCTCCCCCTTGTGCCATTTAGCTCTGGTGTAGCTGCAGCTGAGGCCTTCCCGGCACCGGGAGCATCGGAGCGATCGCCCCACAGACCTGCAGCGATCGGCACCTGCGTGTCTCTGCCTGCTGGTAGAAGCCAGGAAGAGTTTTTAATTTACTTGCAATGCCATCTTCCTGATTTGTGTGTCATGGCAATGTACAGTTCCCCCTCCCTTAAGCTGATCCATTCTTTATGTGTATATGTGCCTGTGATTTTGTTTTCCTCCATTTTTATGAAATGTTGTCTTACCTGGTTTTGGGAATGCTCTGTAATCACTTTGATTTTAAGTTCCTCCCCTTCATGCCTTCTGTATGCTTCCTGAATTTTCATTGAGAGGTTACATGTGTGTAAAAAGTCTTGTTTAACTCAACTTCATCAGTTGGTTTCCTTTCTCTTCATTAATCTATCAAAAAAGGAAAAATAGTGTGTAATTTTTCTCCCCATAAATTACCACTGACTGCTCTTTAATCATCTGAATGATGCTGTGTGAGGGCTTGTAGATTTTGTGGGTTGTGCTGTGGTTTCTTTCCTGGTGTTGGAGATAGGGGAGGAGGGCACTCCATTCCCTGGATCTTGCATCTTGCCATTCAAAGTTAATTTTAAATTGTCCTTGTCCAGTCTTCTGGAACCTCCCTCACCATCCAGGAGCTAACAAAGATAACTGCCCAGAGAAGCTGTGGGATATTCATCCTCAGAGTTTTTCAAAATGCTCTTGGATATAGCCCTTGGCCTCATGGAGGGTCCCAACAACTGCCCCAGGATGTTGGATGAGGTCCCCTCCCACCTTAGTCACTGTACATAGCTTCTCTGCACCCTCCTTGTTTTGTGCCTTATTTGGCCTCTGTAGAAATGGGGGAAAAGAAGATTTGTGCTGCTCCATGCCTTAAAGTGAGCTGTGGGACTGGAAGAGGTGCTGAAGGAGGTTGCTTTCCTTCTGTTCACTGCGAGAGTAGTGTCCAGTGCCATGGGCATCATACTTTTAGATCCTTCTGTCAGGTTGGGAAAATAAAACAGCTCCTTTCTCTTCTGTTGGATGTAGGAGTGATGTGGGAGCCACCTGTTCTGCGTGAAGGACAAGGAACAGACCACTTGGTAAAGGGAAGAAACAAAACATCCCATTAAATGGAAGCCATGAAGATATCAAAGCGGTTCTTCGCTTTTGGGATTTTGACATGCATAGCTGTTTATGTTGCATATGTAAAATGGCACTTGGGCTCCAAGCCATTTGTGGGAGCCACAGAAGGAGTTGCTGAAAGCAGGGGAGATAAACTGACCCATCAGGCAGTGACCACAGATCTCTCTGTCTTTTATGGAATTATGTTTGACGCAGGAAGCACGGGAACTCGCATCCATATATTTAAATTTGCTCAGCAGCCAAGAGGTATGTCTTGCTCATTGCATGACAGATTAAGTCTTCCATAAATTGTGGAGGAGGTTATTGATGACAGTTTTCTAGGGTCTACTTGAACACACATGCTTCAGGTCTTTCCAGAGAGCCATCAGGAGGTATGAAATGGTTCAGGTGTGTGTATTTGGATGAAATTATGAAAATGTTCAACAAGGAGAAAAAGCTGTAGTGTCAAAATATGAAGTAAATAGCAGTAGTGTCTTGAAGAAAGGCAGTTTTTCATCACACTGATGGAAGTGACAATTATAAATTCAAGCTGCCTTATTTCCCCAATTTTTTTAGGTTGTTTGGTGTCTCCACTTCCTGGCAGTGAGCTGTTTCTCTCTACAATGTTTGGTTTAGTGCATCCTTGGCTTCACTGTTGGGTTTAAACTGCAAAACTAAACAAAAATTGCAAATAGTTTGATTAAAATTGCTGTGTATTGCATCTGGGTAGAAACTACTTCTGAGAATTGAGAAAAAGTGTACAAAAAAAAAATCTCCAGCTTTCCTCTGCAGTAGTAAGCTTTATTTGTTTTTATGTTGTCAGCTCCCCTTTGTGAAACTCTTGAAGATCAGAGAGCCTGTGTGGGTGCTGTTAGTAGGTGATCTAAAGGCTCTGTGGAGGATTAGCAGTGTGGAGTGTGTGTGATTGGCCTCTGGAGAGCCCCTTAGGTTAAACAACAGTCCATGGATTTCCTTCTTTTCCTGTGTCTCCAAGTTTTTGCTTCTTCCTTGCCTGCTTCGTTTGAAACACAATTTCAGAATGTATCACAGCAAACTTTATGGAGTGCAAGTGTTGCCTGGTCTGCTGGTTCATACAAGGCGCTGCAGCTTTCCAAAGTACTCAAGTCTGCATCCCTCTGCTGCCATTAAAAATAAGGGAAAAGCTTCCATTAGGTTTTGCTGGAATCAAGTTTAGCCAGAGCAGGGTAGGCTGAAACAGGAGGGGGTTTTTTGCAGGTACAGTTTGAAAAGCTGCACATGGCAGGTGAAATGCCCCAAAGAGAGCTTGCATGCATCTGGTGACTGATGTGCTGTGTGGACAGCAGCACCTGACAGCCAGTCATGGCTTTAAAAGTGGTTTTCTCAGGTTCTAATTCCACAGCCAGGGCTGTATTTAAATTAGGTCAGGTGGCTGATAATAGTTCATTAGACAGAGGCTTCAATTAACTTCTATTAGCATATAATAATGGAATTTTTAAAATGGTTTTCTTTTTGTGCATGCAAATTTATTTGTACCATTACTTATTTTTGGAATACTGCTTTTGAACAGAGACTCCCAGATTAACCCATGAGACGTTTAAAGCACTGAAACCAGGTCTGTCTGCATATGCTGATGATGTAGAAAAGGTAATTTAAGCTACTTCTTTCCTGTCTCCCTCACCTTCTGGTTTGCAGGGATTTAGGGACTCCTAGACCCAGCTCATAGTGTTTTACAAAAGCCTTTGCTTTCTGAGAATTTGTCATACTGCCTTTTGAGTCTTTTGTAGCCAAAAAATTTGGTGGCAGAATTCTGTTTCACTGTTTGAAAAAGTGACTCTGTTTTGGACCAATTGATCAATGTTTCCCATTATACCCACGAGGCCTTATGCTGTGGTGAGATAGTGAGTCCTGCACCTCCTCTTGACCCCTTTTGATATTAATTTGTCTCTGTTTCACATTTACAGTAAATTGTAGCTCTGATCACCCTTTTGATCTTTCAAAAGAATTTTTAAGGTGTATTTTATTGTTCTTTGCTCACAGAGTGGCCACGGAATAAAAGAGCTCCTGGAGGTGGCAAAGAAAGAAGTCCCTATGGAGCTGTGGAAGTTTACTCCTCTGGTCCTGAAAGCCACAGCTGGCCTACGGTTGCTGCCAGGAGAGAAAGCTCAGAAGTTGCTGGAAAAGGTATTATCTCTTGTCTTTCTATTTGCTTTCCAGAAAATATGCTCCTGTTAAAAATACAGCACCCTGGGACATTCCTGCAAGCTAGAGTGTCCATGCCTTTCCCATATATCTATAATACCTTGAGGGTCACCAATTCCAACAAAACAAATGGGATTTCCTTCCCTATCCATGTCCACCCTTTGTTAATGGCATTTCTGAGCAGTCTTCATGCTTGAAAACCCATCACATCCATCCCTGTTTCTGCACCACACTGCAAGGCCAGCACATAAAGGCTGCTACTTGTTGGACTCTTGAACTTCAAACAAAGTGGTGAGCAGCAGTCAAGATCTGGCCCAAGAAGAGGAGTAGTAGTGTAAAACTGGGGTTTTAAAAAGCTTGTTTTTCACATGAAAAAGTATTTCTCTGAATGTAGCTTTTATTTGAACTACAGGTGAAGGAGATTTTTCAGGCCTCCCCCTTCTTTGTGAGGGACAATTGCGTGTCGATAATGAATGGAACTGATGAAGGTAAGCAGCTTTATGGAGGCTCTTTCTGCAGTCCTGGAAATTCCTGCTGCACTGTGAGAAGTCCCTGCCTGCTGTGATGGGAACCCATAAGCAGCAGGTTTGACAGAAGCAGAGTTTTTATGCGGCCACAGGCAGTGCCTGCCAAAGAAATCTTGTGCAGTGTTTTCCAATTTGAAGTCCTATTCTGATTTTGAAAGCTCTTAGTGTTGAGCAGTTCCTGTAGGATCATCAGAAAGCCACTGTGCAGTCAGCACTTTTAGAGAAGTTTCTGAATATCTGCTTTTTGAAATGGTCTTCAACAATTGGGTTAGCCCACTGTGGTCTTGACAATTCTTGTCAGAGCTCTCTGGAAGTACTTGATCATAATGTTAATTACAACTTATGTAACAAGTGGGAATATGAGTTCAATCTGAAAAAAAAAGTTATATAGGGAAGAAAATACATGCTGAAGTAAGTTCATGTTAATCCAAAAATGTTGAGGACAGAATGCCAAAATTCTAAGTGTTGAAATGTGTTTTAAATCTGCTGAGAAACCAAGCTTTAAAATAGCTGAAGCTGTTTATGAGTTTCTGTTCTTGCTGCTTAATGGAGGAAAGATATTATTTTTCTTTCGTTTTAAAATCAGTAATAGCAGTGATAGCCTAGGTTCAGCTAAGGATTGAAGTAGGCCATGCTCTCTGGCATGCCTTGAGTTTTAACCACATGAGTAAATATTTGAATTTGTTAACATAAGGCCACTGATTCACCTAATTTATGGGGAACAGTTTATAAAACAAGAGGAACAAAAACAGCATAGCTCACAAAATTGCTTAGAGGAAAACAGGCAAAATTAGAACACTGAAAGATGAAAATTCTTAGTATTCATAAAGAAAAGTGGAGTGCCTGACATCAAACAAAAGCCAACAGTGAATGTTTTCCTAGAAAATGAACAGTGTGAATTTCAGTCATCTCTTTGTCTTTTAGCTAAGGACTGATGCCTTTGTGACTTCCTGCCGAAGTTTTTGACCTGTGAAATACAGAGTTCTCCAGGCATTTCATACATGGGGCTTCTCTCCCAAATATCACATAAGCTCTGATAGAGAAGGTCATTCTCTTTGTTCAAATAGCCTAATCTTGAGTTTGTCAGCCATTGACAGTTCTGGGAGCCTTGTAATATGGCTTGACTTACTTGTTGCTGCTGTTAGATAAAATTAAATGTTATGAGCTAAGCATGTGTCTTCTGAATCTTTTCCTTATTAGGTATTTCAGCCTGGATCACAATAAATTTTTTGACAGGTATGTGTACATGAGCATGTATATAAAGATATGACCAATGCTGTGAAATTCTTGCTATTTTCTGCCCCTGTGTGGAATTTGCTCATTCATTGGGGTGGAATGGGAGAAAGAAGGCTCTGAGAATAAGTCAGCAGTTTGGTTTTGGCCTGGCCTATTTATGTCATTAGGATTTTGTCCATTTACTTGATGGAGTGAGGAGTTTAATCCTTTTTCCTAGATGTTTAATGTGGCTTTTCTTTCAGTTCCCTGGAGGGTACCAGAGCATTTTATTCCTTTTTAGAGCCTGCTGTGACTTGGGCTAAATTTTTTGTGTAAGTATTCTAGATGTGCTTGGCAGCTGCAGAGAGTAAAAGAAAGTGTTGTGGTACTTCCTTACAGATTTATAACACAGAAATGCCACAGATGTTTACAGTACTGAGTGAGAAAAGGGTAGCTGAAGAGTAGAGAGAAAACTAAGCTGAAGACCTCTCTGACAGTACATAAAGCACTCTGCCATCCAAGTGCTCTGTTCAGCACACAGTGTTGTGGGGCAATGTGCTCTGGAGCTTTTTATGCTCCCAGGAAATACCAGAAAGGTCAGCAATCTTCAAACATCAGCTATCGTGAGGTATACTGAGGTACTTGGCACAAACTCTCCTTGTCAGAAGGGTGCATTTGAAGGATCTAGCTGAAAAAAACTAGATCTAAATGAGAGCAGAGGTCTTGGCTGGCAGCAGGAAGAATTCCAAGAGAGCTGAGTCTCTTAGGCCAGCTCTTTTCAGTCTGTCATCCTTTTGGCCACAGGAATCTGCAAAATATTGCTAAGGGATCAGGGAGAGGTGGCCAAGACAACCACATTCCTCTGTGTTACAAAGTGGTTACCAGAGCAGAGTTTGCAAAAAGTCTTTGCATCCAAAATGTTTAGGAAAGCAATAACCAAAGCTGCTGTGATTAGGGGAGGAACAGCCACTGAAGAAATAAGAGACTCTTGTCACTTTAAGATTTTCAGGTCTGATAAAGCCAAAATCAGTGTCCAGTAGATAACAGTGTATTTAGAGCTGTGCAAAAGCTGAGAGTGGAGTTAGATTGTTCTCTTTCCTTACCACTGTACTTCTGGTTTTGTTCATAGCCAGTTTTTCACAGTGCCCACCATGGCTTTCTCTGTTCTGTCACACGTTTCAGGCAGGCTAGATGACCCACAGAGGAGAAGTGTAGGGATGCTGGATTTGGGTGGTGGATCAACACAGATCACCTTCCTTCCGCGTACCAAGGTAACGTGAGCATGCACACTGTTGGGAAATGCTGCTGCAGGAATCTGTAACTGCTTGGATTTCTTTCCCTTGGAAACAGAGCAAGAGTTTTGTCAGTGTGACGTGAAGCCACACATGTGACTTGGTCATATGTGCCTTTTTATAGTCAGTCCCAGAAGCATTCACAACTCTTTGTCCATCCTCTTCGTCCAGCTCCATGGGTCAGTGGTGCTTGTGGTGAGTCTGCCAGGGCTGCTTTATCTTGTGGAGGACACCATGTTCTGAATGCCTTAATCCTTGACTGTCAGTTTGTACAGCTTATGACAAAGAGGAGCACAAAACCCAAGGCTAATAATGAATTCAAATCCAAGCATATGGTCTACACTGAGGTTTAAGAACACAGTAAGGTGCCTTCTCAATCCTTGTTTCTGATTGTCCTGAGTTCACTCAGTTGCAAATTAATGCCATTTTAGCTTCCTGACAGTTTTTCTGCTGTTCTGTGAAGCCCTGTGGTTCTGGTATTGTAAGGCTCTGGCCTGAGCAGAGATAGTGTTCATAGTAAAGCTGCACAAAAGCAGAGGGATTGTCCTAGCCTGGGACAATCAACACATTGCACTGTTTCAGCAGAATGGTAAGTGAAGGGTCCAGGATGTGGAAATTCTGGACATAGAGAAGGAGTTAAGATATGAGCAGCACTGTGGCCAGAGCTTTGCTCCCCACAAACACTCTAGCTGAGCTGATGCACTTGGGGAACAGGCTACCCTTTCATTCCTTCAGACCACAGGCTGATCCTCACTCTGTTCCTTGGCAAGCACAGGGATGTGCTTTTCCTCTGGCTTGTGCAAGTTCACAGATGAATTCACTCGAGTAGGAAGTTAATGCGTGCCTGGCCTTCCTATTAGTTTGCACACAGTTCCTGTAGTAGGGATCATGTGAAGAGGCAGTTGCTGGAGCCTCTGGACAAAAGCAGTTCAGAGCTGGAGCAAGGATTCCTTTTTAATGCAAGTCATTCTTTTATACAGCACATTGGTGTGGACACAAGTATAACCAGTTTGAACCCTGTCATGTGAAGACAGCTCCAGGTTTTGTGGCTGTCTTGTGCATTAGCAGTCAAATTGAAATCCTTGCAAATTCATCATTTCTCTCTGATTCATGCTAGGATTGTTTCACGTTTTTCCTAATGTGTTGGAAGATTACCTTGTTGATGTTTGCTGCTGGCAGGCAGAAACCTGACAGTGGCATCTTTTTTTCCTTCCAGGCAACTCTCCAGACATCACCATCTGGCCACACAACTTCATTTCAGATGTTTAACCACACCTACAAGCTGTATTCCTACAGGTTAGTTGTGGAAAAGAGAGCACAGTGCTCAGATGGAAGCTTTCTGTGAAGCCAGGGAGACTGAGGTGTTTTTCTGGAGTGGGGTCCTTGCAAATGAATACCATGAAGAAGCAGAGAAACTTGAGCCATGTGATTTTGGTGGATTAACCTTGGCTGCCCACCATGTGCCCACCAAGTCCCTCTATCACTTTCATTCTATTAATAGGATGGGGGAAGAAAATATGAGAAAAACTCATGGGTCAAGATAAGGACAGGGAGGTCACCAGTTATTGTCATGGGTGAAACAGTGTTGACTTTAATCTAATCTTTTTAGTATTTAATTTAATTTATTGCAAATTAAACAGTAAGATAAAGAGAGATAAGAACAAAATCAAAAATGCTTTCCCTCCATCTCTCCCTCCTTCCCAGGCTCAGCTTCACTTCCAACTTTTATACCTTCTCACCACTGAGCAGCACAGGAAGATGGAGAACGGGGGTTGCAGTCAGTTAATAATGCTTTATCTCTGTTATTTCTTCTTCCTCACTGTCTTCTCTGCTCCCAGTGTTTTTGGACCAGCAGCTTCTTCCCACCTGTGTTTGCTGTGGAGTGTGGTTGGGCTCAGAAAGTCAGTTCTGTATGCAAGTGTTTGTGCTGCCTTTGAGGAGGGTAGGAGTACCCAGTGAGGTAGTAGGAGCAGAGTTAGAGAAATGCCATTGCCAGTTCTCCAAGAGCCAGATTACAACTGACAGCTATTGCCTGAGCTTTTTCAAAGACAAATTATCCTTCTGGATAAGGTAATATGAGAGCAGGCTGTCACACTGTTCCACTCATGTGCATGAGCTGCTGACTTGAGCCACTTTACCATGGCTGTCAAGAGGAGACTGGCATGTCCCAGTTAGGTTGTCAGTGGAGTATCAGAGGAAGGATGTCTGTTGCTCACAGAGGCTTTTCTCCCTTTGCAGTTACCTGGGACTTGGGCTGATGTCAGCAAGGCTTGCCATTTTGGGAGGAGTTGAGGGAAAACCCTGTAAGTTGTGGGCAGTCTTCAGATCCTGGTTCTGAGCTCAGGATGTCTAGTCCTATGGGGGGAGGAGCTGTGTATTCCCTTCCCACTGGCTCGAAGTTCCTGAGTGGCATGTGGGCTCCTGTCACCATGGCTGGGTGCATTTGAGACAAATGCAGGAGGTGACACTGACAGATCCCAGGAAACCTGGATTCTTGCCAGGCTTAGGTTGGGGGTGGCATGGGACATCCAAACCATGACTGGGCTGTGGAGGGGCCTTGCTGAACTGCAGGACAGTATGGAACAGGGCTGGGGGTGAAGGATCTGAATTTATTCCTTACAGGTTTTCCTAATGTGGCTTTGTTTTACTTCTGCAGTAGGAGAAGGAGAGGAATTGATCAGCCCTTGTTTACCACCTGGCTTCAAATCTGAATGGCAACACGCTGAAATAGTGTACAAAATTAAAGGACAGAAGGCAGGTATAGTGATTTATCACTCTTGCTATCTAGGTTAGCTGCTATTAGCACAGTAAATGGTACACTCTCATCCTCTTTCAGAGACACCAGACTCTGTTTACTGTTCTGTCTGGCTCCTCTTGGTGTGCTGTCAAAGAGATCCTGCAGTTCCTTTGTCTTGTGCCATGATGTGTCTGTCCAGTCTATAAAGCTGCTAGAAATGATGCAGATGGAGTTGAGCAGTCCTTGAACAGGTCTTTCAAAACCCTTCTGCCTCAAATTATGTTGTTCATCTCTGATCTATCACATAATCTCAACCTGAGGATGGTAGGTGTCTGTGTCTAGAAGAAGATTCAGATTTCAGGTCTCTGTGAAGAGTTTTGCTATTTTGCAAAAAGGTGCCTGTTTCCTGGCAGATCCTAAATAAATTCTGTATATATTTAACTCTCAGCCTGTAATATAATGGGGTTTTTTTGTCTTCTTTTAGGTGAGCCTCTGTATGAGTCTTGTTCTAATAAAGTGGCAAAGATGCTCTACAAGAAAGTGCATAGAGCTGGGGAAGTGAAGGACCTGGACTTTTACATTTTCTCCTACTACTATGACTGTGCAGCAGAGGCTGGTCTCATAGGTATGCCTGCTTCTGAGTTGGTTTCATTTCAAATGGCAAGTTCTGGAAGCAGTGGGAACACTTGCACACATCATAATGCTTTGCTAACTGTCATGGAAATCAGTCTGTTACACTGCTGTGCAGCATTGACTTGATATTAATGTCTATAGAGAAGATACTGGGCCTGTGAAATAGAACCTACAGCCTTTGATAATTGTTCTTAAACAGCTTGCATTTCAGAAATGATTGTTGCCTAATTAGCTCTACAATCTGAAATAGAAAAAACTTCATGATGATAAACAAATTTCTTGGGCAGTAAAGCAGTAAAAATTATTTGGGCTGTGTGTTTGCTCCACTGATCTTTTGATGGAATGAAGATTTTCAGATATTTCCACATGCATTCAGAATGCATCACATCTCTTTTCCAGTGGTGTGCTTATGTACAAAAGGCTGTCATATTCAGTGGTAATAAGCAGAAAATGAGATCTCAAGTTAGTTTAGACAAACACACCCCCCTTCTCAGCCACTCCCTTTTTGCAAATAATTTCAGATTTAATGTGTTGCAGAGCACCACTGCCCTGTCAGATCTGGTCACAGGTGTTCACTGTCCAGGCACCACTGGACAGGGCAGTGCAGAAATCGGGGTCAGGTGAGATGGTCTGTAAGCTCTGTTCCTGTAGGAAACAAGGCTAAAGGTTCTTCATAAACCAAGGCTTTTGAATCTATACTGAGAATCTTTTAAAGGTTCTTCTACCTTTAAAACCAGTCTGAATTTTGACATTGATTTCAGTGGCTCAAGGTTTAATTTCCAAACAACTTTTATGATTTGAGTCTACAATTGCCTTTATACAAAGTCTGTAAAAAAGTGGGGTTTTTTTTTCTTTTAGATAAAGAAAAAGGAGGAAGCTTAACTGTCAGTGACTTTGAAATTGCAGCAAAATATGGTGAGTAAAATATACACACTAGTAATTGTATGTAAATTCATTCCAGGTGGCAAATGTGAGGCACACTAACAAGCCTGATGCTTTTAAGTAAATATTGAGTCCCTCTAAATAGCATCTAACCAATATTTCTGCTTATTTCTGAAAATATCACCTATTTTTATATTAACTTTTGCTTTTGCAGTGGGTTTTATTTTGAGTTTGTCTTTTCTTTTTCTTTTATGTTGTTAGGCTTTTTTTTTAATTTGGTTTAGGCAACATCTGTTATGTGCTGGTGCTCAAGAAAGATAACACACCTGAGGTTGCTCAGATATTCAAAGACTAAGTAGATAGAAGAAAGGCTCTTTTCCTGGAGAGACTGCCGTCTTAGGTCTTGACTTCCTTACAAAGCTTATGTACTTATCCTAATCTGTGTATGTTATTTCAGCCCCATTGTAACAGGTTCCATCACTGACAAGAGCTGTTTTGTGGCTTCATTTGAGATTTTTCACAGTGGGGCTGTTGTTAGACCTGAGCCCAAAGTGTGAATTCAGACATTGTTTTCTTTCTTTTCAGTTTGTAAGACCATGGAAATCAGCCCTGGAAACAACCCTTTTCTCTGCATGGACCTCACATACATCACCTTCCTGCTGCAGGAACTGGGCTTCCCTGAGAGCCAAAGCTTTAAGGTGAAGCTCAAAGTGGATTTCTGGGGAGAGTGGGCAGGAGGGTGCCAAGGCAGGAGTCATCCTGCCAGGAGCTTGGTTCTTGATTTACCTTCTTGCTACAACACATGGTCTGCAATGGTGGGTGCAGCAACACTCTCCCCACAGTGCTGGTAACATAATCTGGTTTGTCATAATCTTCAGCACTGTATCTACCTTGCCTGTTTCAGATTCTCCCAAAAAATTGTGGTTTAACTTTTCTGCCTTTTTTTTTTTTCAATGTATTGTGGTTGCAATGAGCCAGGGCAAGGTAGCTGATGTGCCCCACTCCAACAGTGCCGGGTATGCAGGCAGGGAGTGATCACAGGGTCTGGAGGAGATATGCTGTGCTATTTGTAATCTCACTGTGGATTTGTGATGTATTTAATGAATGTATGGAGAAGACCCAAGTGGTCTTTTGGGGGTGCAGAAGAGCCCAGCTTCCCCGAGAGCCCTGACTCATGGGCTCAGGGCAGCAGTACATGACACATGACCTGCTGTGTGGGGACACTTGAACCTCGCTGTGCCGACAATAAACCCCCGATTTGAAATCAGAACGTGTTGGTGAGGAGGCTTTTAGCGCCAGAGCCCGCACGGGGGGTGGGATGAGAACTCACTGCCCTGACGCCATCCCTGACCCCTCGTGCCGTCAGTCACTCCGGCGCCCAAGCCCTCCGGTGCCATCCCAGCCCCAGTCGCCCTCCCGGTCCCCTCGGCCCGCCCCGGCAGCGGCGCCGGCCCCGCCTCGCCGCGGGCGGAGGAGGCGCAGGCGCGGCGGCCCCGGCCCTGCCCCAGCCCGGCTGCGGCGGAGGCAGCGGCGGAGCCGGCGGGGCGGCGGCGGCGGGATGGCGGCGCCGCTGAGCGACGGGGACCGTCGGAAGCAGATCAGCGTGCGGGGCATCGCGGGGCTGGGGGACGTGGCCGAGGTGCGCAAGAGCTTCAATCGCCACCTGCACTTCACCCTCGTCAAGGACCGCAACGTCGCCACCCCCCGCGACTACTACTTCGCGCTGGCCCACACGGTGCGCGACCACCTGGTGGGCCGCTGGATCCGCACCCAGCAGCACTACTACGAGCGGGACCCCAAGGTGAGCCCCGGCGGGACGAGGGACTGGGGCTGGGCGGCTGTGCCTTCACCAAGGGTGTCTCCGTGACTACCTGGCAGGTGTCACTGTGGGTGTGACCCCTGGGCCTTGTCCCTTGCAGGCAGCTGGCTGTGGGGCGCCTTGCCATGGCCGTGCCCCTCATGCATCCCACCGTGATTTCTTCCCTGCGAGCATCATGACACCTGTATCTCTCACACACACCCCGCTGTTGCTGTGTCCCCGTGGGCATTACCATGGTTGTGTCCCTTGTACACACCTCAGCATGGCTGTGTCCCCATGAGCCTTGCCTCATCTGTGTCCCTCACATACATATTGCCATGCCTGTGTCCCCACGGACATCACCACAGCCATGTCCCTTGTGCAGTTTGCCATGACTCTGTCTCCACAAACTCTTCTGCAGTCTGGTTCCACTGAACCTTGCTGCAGGATTGTCCCCCCTCAGCCTCATAACTGTGTCCCCCTGCACCTTGTCACCACCATGTACCCTGTGGTCCCACTCAGAGCAGGTCCTTGCATGGGCCTTGCTGCTGTCAGCTCTTCTGTGTGCTCTACCATGGTCACGTCCTGCACTCACACTGCTGCGGTGCTGTCCCCTGTGGGCATCATCACCTCCATGGCTCAGCACAGCTGTGTCCTGACTTCACTCCTGCAGAACATGCAGGCAGCTCAGCTTTGAGGCTGGAGAGGAGTTTCTTGCCTTGTGAAAAACCAGATAAGCTCTCCCAGGTCACCAAACGCTGGGGTTCCTCCCCACTTGCCAAGTCAGGAACAGTGATGCTGGAGGTGTTGGGGGCTGCAGGATGTAACTCAGATTTAATCCTTTTGAATTAAGACCCAATCCAGAACTTGACTGGAGAGCCACAGAGAGCAGGTGTGTACAGAGAAAGGCAAGTACCTTCCCAGGGTGCAGGCAGCCAGCCATCTCCCTGAGTCAGCTCTTTTCCCAAGATGATGAATATTGCCTTGACACAAGAAACAAAGTGCACTTTCACGACAGAATGGCTGCATGAGCGCTGAGAGTAGCACTGGTGCATGGGACTCTCCCTTTTGTCCCAACTTGCACAAATGTGGCCTGATCTGTATTGCAGCACCAACAGAAGGGGTTGCACAGATCCCATAAAGGCTCAAAGGAGCCTGGAATGAGTTTGCTTACTGTCCTCTACACTTAGATTTTCACTAGAAATGCGCCCCTGTGGGAGACTGAAAGGAGCAGAGCATTTGTGTGTGATGATTCTGGTCTGTCTGATAAGCCCCAGGGAACAGACTGACCCTTTCAGACTCCCAGCAGAGGTGGCAGAGGGAGGAAAGCTGCTGCTTAGCAGGGAAAGATCCACACTACAGTGGAAAGAGATTCAAAGGAAAGTACAATTTGAGGTCAGGTAATTGCTCCATTAAGAGTTCAGGTTTATTTATAAAAATATCCATAGTGATGAATCTGAGTGGAGGGCTGGATGAATCCAGCCTGTGGAGGGCAAAAGTTTGCACAGCCTGCTTCTCATCCCACAAACAGGCTTTCGTTAGCATTTGCAACACAGACACGGCTCCTCTCAAACTTGGAAGGTCACTGCACAGTTGTGCCAGGAACCCTGCCACCTATGGGACAATTTACTTCTTCAACAGGGTGAAATGGGAGTGAAACTCAGCGTGGGGTGAGCAGGAGGACCCATGAGATGGGAGTGCTGGAAAATTACTCACAGGAAGATGCTGGCCCTGCATAGGGCAGGGGGCTTGCTCTGGCTTTTGGGAGGCTGGATCAGCTCAGCCTAGGAAAACTTTAAAAGCCCAGCGTAAACATCACCTCAGCTGAGCCTGACAGTGTATAAATATATCATTCAGCATCCTAGATAATAGTTGCCCTGAGTTAATTAGGGAAACACTTAACAGGCAGCGAGATTTTTCTATAGAAGGCTGTTGGCAGGGAGATGCGTGGTGGAGGCTTGGCCGGCGTCCCGCTTGAAATTCTTCTGACAAACAACTCTGGTGCGTGGTGTTCAGGAGCAGGCGCCAAAAACCAGTCTGGGAAGACATCCCTGCTCTGGAAAATGCTTGTGTCTGCTCTTGATTTGAAGCAGCTTCAGTGAAAGCAAAGTGCTGTGTTGTGTGTAAGCGTCTCGCTTTGCCTCCCCAGCGCATTTACTACCTGTCCCTGGAGTTCTACATGGGTCGCACTCTGCAGAACACCATGGTGAACCTGGGCCTGCAGAATGCTTGTGACGAAGCCATTTACCAGGTAAAGTCTTGGGGATACCAGGGTCCCCCTGAGGCTAAACTTTTCCACACAGATAGTTTAGTATCTTTATTTCTCAGGGCTTCACCTGAGAAGGTTGTTATTTGGACTACACAAAATGAAGCTTGTCTTTCTTAGTGTTTTTCATTCCCTAGAGAAGACAATGTGAGGGGCTTGGGGTTCCTTGGAGTACAAACCACCATTTCCTTGTAGTGAATGGGAGAAACCAGAAGTGTATACTGAAAACTACACCCAGTATCCTAAATGACATGAGAGTCACAGGCTGCAAAGAGCTTTCCATTAGTGGGAGAGATGATCGTTTATCACAGGAGATGTAGTGTAATGGGAGAGACTGGGACTAGGGCAGCAAAACACCAAATTACAGTTCATACATTGAGGTACACAAGGCACAGCAGCAGCACTGGCAGTAGAATTGGTGGGAAAGGAGAAAGGAGGGAAATAAATTGCTGGAAATAAAATGTCCTCAGATGATTTTCATCTTGAAAGAAACACAGCTGAGTGTGTTTCTAACAACGCAATCACTAATGTGAGGCCATTGTTACTTATATGGTTATTTGCAGACACCTCTGCAACAGCACAGTGACCTTTTTTGACAGAATGCGGCTTTTGGCCTTCTCACCCAATCCCTTTATTTCTCCCAGCTTCCCCTCTCCCCTCCCTCTGCCCTACCAGATTGATCCATGTTACACTTTGTAGCAGAAGTTGGGCACTTTTTAGAGAGACAGTTTAGAGACTGTCTCTCTAAATGAGGTGCTACAGTTGCTGCTGAAACATCCTGGCAAGCACTTTCCCTGCCAAGAGATCCAAAGGGATTTCCAGGGAGGCACCTGTTTCCTCTCTGAGGTATTGTGCCTCAGAGAGCAGCTGGCTTTTTTCAGAAGCATCCGCTAAGTTCCTTTGCAAGACAGTTTCCAAGTGCAGATTTGGCCTGACGTGCCAAGGCTTCCCTTGCTGTAGCCTCCAGCCTGTGGAGCTCATCATGGCCCATGGCCAGGTTGCTCGAAGGTCCTCATATCCAGCATGGCTCTGTCACTGAGAGAGTTCATCTCAGTTTTTGTGTCCCCATCACTCTGTGCTTGAGGCTTTCCCATCTTGTGGTTGCAGACCATTGAAGTGCTGGGAAAACAGTTTGGGGAGCACCTGTGGTATTGGCTTGACACGGTGCTGTTCCCCCTGGCACCAGGGTGAGCTGCTGCTGCCCCCTGAGTCTGCACCCCTGGACTCCTGGAGAGTCCTTGCTGCTGGCAGCCTTAGCCTTCCTCTGGCAGGGGCCCCCAGGCCATAGAACAAATGGCTCAAGAGATGCAGGCAACCACTTCCAGCCACGGACTGCAGCCAAGGAGCTCGGTGGCAGGCTGGGCAGGATGTGGGAAGCACAGAGTGATGGTGAATGCTGCAGTCACTGCTGCCAGCCTGGCCATGCCCTTCCCTCAAGGACTCAATACATGAGTAGAGGGATGACCTCCCCTGCCCAGGCAGACTCGGGGGTACCTTGCACACTGGCTTGACCATTCCCCCCATTCAGTCTCCAGTGTCAAGTTTGGTCAAAGGGCATGCTGACCTGAGGGGCTGCTAGGGTATGAGAGTTTTGTCTGAACTCTCTAACGAAACCTTCTTCATGGGAAAACAACATCTGGTGATGGGCTAAATTGTTTTACAATCAATTAGGCTGCCCAAGGACTAGGTGCTGGTGAAATGCTTTGTGGGGAGGGATGCAGAGACCTTGTGGGTTTAATTTCCCTCAGTGTGGGTAGTTTTGGGATGTGTTTGTCCTCCTTGAAGAGCAGCGCAGGACACGGGGTTTGTTTGGTGACATGTTCTGCTGTGGTTCTTCCCCAATAGCTGGGTTTGGACTTGGAGGAGCTGGAAGAAATTGAAGAAGATGCTGGACTGGGAAATGGAGGCCTGGGCCGCCTGGCAGGTAATACAGGGGGAGGGGAGTTCCCTCCTCATGCAGAGTGCATGGGG